TACACCAGCAATTAATTGATGAGCTCACTAGCAATTTATATGACAATTACAAAAAAGCGGCAGAATTTCTAATAAAACACGTTGATGCATTGGCGGATACCGAGCTTGAAGCTTTGCTGTATCTAGAAGTGGCAAATGGTTATTTGCTATTCCATCGCTCACAAAAATCGGATGAACTGCTGGAGGAATTATGCAAACGCTTGAATGTTGTACTAAATGTTGAAGGTAAGTAAATTGAAGGTATTTGTGATATATTGATTAAAAATTTCGTTTTTTATAAAGGTTTACTTGGTGTACGCACAAAATTCCAGCAAAAGCCGCTACCTCAACTTTGTCTCAAAGTAGAGCACGCCAATGATGAGTACTTACGCACTGCGAAAGAAACAAATGGTAATACCAGTTTACCAAAACTATTGCTATTGGAAGATGACACGCGTTTGGAACGCATACGTTTCATAGAGCCAAAAGATAATGATATCATGACTCTACCAAGTGTTTTACAAGCCTTAGTATTAGCAAAAGTGTTAGTAAACAAATTCTTTGTGTATTGATTTGTAATTAATTTTTTATTTTTTTGCAGCAAACAACTTAAACGTTCTCAACCAAAAGATCGACTAGCAGACGAAGAGTTAGAACCTTATATACAAACATTACTCTACCAAGAATGTGGGCCATTGCAAGTGCGTCTAGCAGTTTTATTGCTAAATTGCGTGCAGGAATCGTCACAACGACGCACAGTCGAACGCAGCTGGAAACAATGTGAAGAAGCTGTTAAACTGTTGAATGAGAGCACATACTCCACACAAGATCGTCTTTCATATGCTTTTGCTGGTTTCCTGCAACCCACGTGGCAAGTTAAAATGCAACTTTGTGAGTTGTTACTCTCCCTTGGCATGACTAAAACCGCTTTGGACATATATTTGAAAATAAAAGCCTGGGAACAAGTAATTAACTGTTACACGCGCTTGGAGTTGCGCAATAATGCAGCGGAAATTATACGCCAAGAATTACAGAAAAAACCAACAGCCTTACTGCATTGTCTACTTGGCGATGCTACCGATGATCCCACACATTACGAAACTGCTTGGCAGTTTTCCAAAGAAACTAGCGGCAAAGCTCAAGCACATTGGGGCAACTATTTCTTCGGCAGAAAAGAATACGAAAAAGCTATAGAACACCTTGAGAAGTCTGTACAAATAAATTCATTGCAAGAAAAAATTTGGTTACGTTTAGGATATGCAGCTATAATGATAGAACGGTGGGAATTGGCAGTACATGCGTACATAACCTATACACATTTGGAACCGCTCGGTTTTGAATCTTGGAACAATTTAGCCAAAGCGCTTATTAAGTTGGGTGATAAGATGCGTGCACATAAAGTGTTAAGTGAATCCTTAAAATGTAACTACCACAACTGGAAGGTATACTACAATTCCGCTTATTGTTTTCATATAAAATTAATATTTTATTACTTACTTTATCTACAGGTTTGGGAAAATTTTATGTTGGTTTCGGTGGACACAGGGCATTTCGAAGATGCAATAAATGCCTACAACCGCTTAAGTGATTTAAAGCAACATTTTCTAGACTTAGAAGTGCTTTGTGTTACCATGACAGCCATAGCACAAGGCAAACCTGATGCTAAAGGTCAAACAGCAGAGCGTTTACATAAAAAAGCGGTGTCACTTATGGCCCAGCAGTGTATCAAACATGGTAATGAGTCAAAAGTCTGGGAACTTGCCGCATTACTCGCCAAAACGCCACTTGATAAAGCGCAGAAATTAATCAAATCTTACCGTTCTTACACCAGTAAAGAACTTGCCTGGGCGAGTAAACAACCATTTTCGTTAAAGGCACTACAATTAACGCGGGAAATTTGTACATTATCACTGCAAGCAATTACAGAACATTCCACAGAAGAAACGCCCGGCATGATAACATCACAATTAAGCTCAGCTCGTCTATCTGCACAAGCCTGCATACGTGCCGTAGAGAAAGAAACCGAAAACTGGCCAGAGAACCAAGAATTGCTGCAAGAAGTCAAGGAATTATTTGAACGAACAACAGAGCAAGTAAAACAGCGCATGGAAAATAAATAATTTATTTATTAAATATAAAAAAAGCATTAAAGCTATATTTGACTTTTTTGTTATAAACAATATTTGTATTAAATAAAAATATATTTAAAAATAATAATTTAATTTCGTTAATAATACATTTACGTTCTGATCAAAAACGCCAGAAACTTGTAAATTCAATTTGTTTGGATTTTTGTATTTTTTGTTGTCGTAAAAAAATCGAATTAAATAATAAATAATTAGTTATAACAATTTAATTTTGTTGTTACTAATACACGTACGCTCTGATCGAAAGCGCCAAAAACCCCTAAACCCAGTTTGTCTGGATGCCAATCAAAGCAATGTACTGGTTGTGAGGATACTGTACTAGCATTTAACATCTCCAGTGTGCCGGGAACACCCTCCATTAAACCATTGCCATCATCCTTTTGTCGCTTGCCTGGGTATTCATACTTCCATAGACGCAAGGAACCAGTGCCACCGGACGTAACAAATATATCGCGATTTTGCGGCAAATGGCGTATAGTCCAAAGTGTTGATTTAGGGCCACTTATAACACCATGTGAACCAACGGAACGTCCCGCATTACGCTCTTCAACACTAGCAAATCCCTTACTTGCATGTTGGGTGCGCATATCGAATACATGCAGCCCACCTTCTAATGTCGTAACGCCCATTTTATTCATTTTAATATCACGTCTATCGAACTCGATACCACAGACGCCATTTTTCAAAGTAGTTTCCCAACGCACAGCCAATTGGCGTAAATCAAATAATTTTAGATCCCCATTATCATAGCCTGCCGCTACTACGCGCTCCTGATTATCAAAGCTATTACCGAAAGCAACAGCCCAGCAATCACGTCTGTCGCCTTCAGCACCCTCTGGTGTCATATCTACTACGGGTGCTTGACCTTGACGTATGTCCCATACTTTAACGCTACCGTCACGACTGCCTGTCACAATTTCTGGTGGACCACAATCAATTTGCTTTCCTCCAATACCATCAATACTATTGATGATGCTTTTATGCGCCACCACGTTGTACACAGGTAAATCAGTGCGGTCCAAATCACTGCACGAAAAGTAGTTTATTATCGAAACTTCATACCTAAATCTTTAACTTTTACTTACAGTACTTGTAGTCTTCCTTTGAAGTCACCAATTGCCATATGACGATTGCGTAAACTCGCCGCACCAAATGTTCCACACTTGAAAGCATCACTTTTTTCAACCACTTTGATCTTTTCCACTTTATTCTTGTTTAATTCGTATATCTCAAGTATACCATGGCTATTAGGTTTGGAGCCTAGGACGACAAACTTTGCCGAGCATGGAATCCACTTGCAATCAAAAATCGTGTAATTAACCGATTGCTGTATGTGCTCAACCATTTGTGGTTTATCCATCTTTCCGCCTTAATTCTTTGCTGGCGCTTATATTTTTTGCGTGTTGTTTGTTCAATGTAATAGTTCAATATAATTTTTTTGAAAGCGCACATTTAGACAGTTGCTATGGTTCCTTTGCCTTTTTGTTTTAAATTTGAAACACCTGTTTCGATTTTTAAAATTCCTCTCTATTTTATACCTGCAGTGTTGCATTTCTTATAAAAAAAATTTGAACTTGCACTGCAAGTGATATTGTATTATACAACATGGAACTACCGGTTTAACGTATACGAACGTATTGGTTTCCAATTGGATTTTTACCAAATTAGATAATATTATATTGGGCACCACATGAAAAACCCTAAAAGCATAATACAATTTTGCACTGCGAGTGATATTGTATTATACAACATGGAACTACCAGTTTAACGTATACGACCGTATTGGTTTCCAATTGGATTTCTACCAAATTATATATTATAATGAACACACCTTGAAAAACCTTAAAAGCATAATATGATATGACTTGGCAACGAAACTTATTTAATGAAACTGAACAAAAAATTGTATTAGATTGTGTTAGAAGTTTACCACCTGTCTACACTGACAAGAGTTTGGCAACATTATTTTTCAAACGAGATACATATATAAATTAAAACATAAAAATCTTGCTAAAATTTAATCAGTGTATTTATAATAATATTGTGGATAAAATAAAGTTTATAAAAATATCAAAAATTATGATAAATATATTATCTGTTTTGTATAAGTCATTATGTTCAGTGCATAATTTAAAAATATTCATTTAAAATCAAACATTTTTTTAAATGGCAAAACAAATGGCAGGAAATAAAAAAATGCATAACACGTACGTCAAAATTTTTTTGATCGCATTGTAATCAATAGATTACATTGACTGGAAGCAGTCAATTCACCAGTGGAAACAAAAATACAACTGTGGATTGCAAAAATTCACCAAGTCTTTACAAACCATTTTTATATTATTATTCGTATTACTTATAGAGCGTTTACATTAACCATAATTATTTCTTTCAGAGTAGCAAAATAATACTCCCAACTTACGAATGAAAACATGTGAAGCAAAAACATTGCTCTAAAAATTATCATAGTGAGATTTTACTCGCAAAAAAATTGATGTCTTAAACTTGAATGCGTCCAAAATCAAAAATCAGTCTATTGTGATTGTTCACTGAAAATATGTTTCAAAATTCAAGTCGTTGGTATTATATCATATTGTACACAACACAACAAAAAACATATATCAAACAAGAGCATTCAACATATCTTAAAAGTTCTTTCTTTCAACCAGAGTTAATATTATTTTTTTCCTGTTCTGAAAGAAAAAAATTACGGCTATTGTAAGATTAACAGTAGATTAAAGCAATAATCAAGATTAAAGTACTAATCTAGGTGTTTAATGACAGATTTTCCATACAAGAGTTATTATGGTTTTGCCGAGATTAATTTTTAATCTTCTTAGATATGGTGATTATTTTTTTGTACAACTCTGCAAATGGCTTAATGTCGTAGATTTTTTTTACGATATTAGAAGAATTGTAAAATATATGTCAAAATCTATTCAAAACAAACATTGAACATTTGAAAATGCCGAAGTGAGTGAATTGTTTATTACATTTGTTTCATAATAGTTTTATATATAAAATTATTTTAAAATTTGTTTAATTTTTGTTTTAAAACTATCTTTTAAATTTAGATTATAATTTTTTGTACAATATTCTTTTTAAATGCTTTATTTACAGAAATTTATTAAATATAGGAAACAAAACATAACAAGAGAAACGTCAAAATTAATCCTGAATGTATAAAGTAAACGGTACAGATAAAAAAGAAAATTAACTTAATTTCGTTCTCTCAATCTCATAATGTAAACGTAGTATAATTATGGCAAAATAAATAAATATGGCAAATCAAATACGATCTCCATATAATATTGACAAAAACCAATGCCTTCTTTCTGGCTAAAAGATATGTAAGATAGCATATTGAAAGTAACTTAATTTTTTTTATATACATATTTTAATTAAGCGAAATTCACATACAACTCTGTAAATATATATATTTCAACTAAAAATTGCATATATATTTGTTTGTGCGAAATTACAATGACGACGAGATACCAAACTAGAACCGAAAACACTTATATGATGCACTTATAATCATAATAGTTAGTTCTTTTTGGTTATCACCATGTCATATAGACATTCAAATGTTAGTTATGAATTAAATGCTGTTATTACTACTATTTTGAAGCTATTTGTTTGTGACAAATTTGTTTGTTTGTGACATTTTAAAATTAAAATGTGTGACTTCTTGTATGCATTTGCTCATATTTATAGAGCAAAATTTCTGTAGTAACAGATGTTAAAGACATAAAAAGCCGCGTCACAAATTAATCAAAATTCAAATTTTCAAGTTTTTATATAAAATTCCATACAAAAATATTATTGCAAAAATTGTATATTTAAAATAAATATTTTGTTTGTGTGTTAATAAGCTTTACATTGAAAAAACACAATTTTACATTTGACGTGACTATGACTGTTTGTATAATGAGATTATAACTTGCTAATATATTAGTACTGATAATTTTTTAGTATTCAATTAAACATCAGCTGTTTTTTATTAATGCCATTTTTTGCATAAAACTAAAATTTAATTTGATATGTTGAAGAATTTAAAGAAAATAAAACATAGAGTTACATTAATACACATAAAAAATTTAATAAAATAAAAAATTATTCTTTAATTTAATTTCTTTTACTTGTAAGTAGTATTTTCTTGCTTTATATGACTCAAAGTAAACAAAAATATTATCAGCTATATATATCATAAAATAATATAATATATATATATGTGTCTATATACTGCGTATTAAAACCGCGACTATATATATTTATAAAAATATTTAACTCGATTTGCACATTTTGCAATTGCAGTGTTTATTTTACACTTTTTACTAATTCTGTCCCACTGTCTGAAACAATCAGCTGTTAATTGACAATAAAATATGGCACAAGCGAGGAGAGAAACACATGAGAACAAGTGCGAGCACAAATTTGGTGACAACAAGAATTATTTACACAATGTTTTGTGTATTAATATATAAAACAAATTATAATTAAATGTATAATAAATTAAAAAATTTGTTAATCATTTAAAAGTAAATAATTATGTTGTTGCGTTAATGGATTTACCAGCAATGCGTGCTTGTGCTCTGTACCCGCAAGTTTGATGTTTGCTGATAATTTGTTTTGTCATAATTATAATGAACAGAAAAGTGAATAATAAATTTTCGGAGTGGAACCGTTCAATTTATTTTGGCTCAGTCAATTTATTGGTCTTGAAGGGTTCGGTTAGAAGTGTTGCTTTTACATTTCTCACTTTCGAATTTGGCTCTATTTTTATGGAATTTTTTTTATTTTAGTTTTCTTATGTATTGTATTTTTGTATTTAATGTGCAAAATGTTACGTAGAACCGCCAAAAGTTGAAACGTACTTTCTACACCGTCCACTCTAAAATAATTAAATAAATTATAAATATATTTGCTAATAATATGTAAAGAGCTATACTAACAAAGTTAATTCAGCGAAAATTGTGAAATTACTTAAGTGCAAAAAAATTATTCGGC